CATCCCCAGTAAAAACCTGCTTTAAACTTCTTTTCACCTTCATTTGTTGTCTCTGTATCCACCCTTCTGGTAGGTGCTGAATCCTGGAACCTGAAGTTTATTTTTTGACCACCCTCTTCCACCCACAGCAAAGTCAAAACCACCCGCTACAGCGAGATTTGCATTGGGTGCTGCAGATCCCAATCCCAATGCAGTCTTCTAAATTGTAACTCAAAAAACGCTCTCCTATGGAGAGCTCAGCAAATCAGATCCTGTATTGTATATTAAATTAAATGTCACTTTCAAGGTAGTGTTACACGGTGGAACTGACGTTGTGGACCAGTATTTAAATGCCTGGACAGTGATTAGACAATAAGGGCATCTTATGGGGATCTGTGCAGGTTATTCTGGGCTTTGTCTCCTCCACAAAGGGCTGGTAGCTGCATGTAGTCTGGCGATTATGCCGCTGATGCAAGTGAATTGAATGAGTTTGACCAGGGATCGGCTGCAAATCTTCTTTTGAGTTGTTTCTGTTGTGAGGAGTAGTTTTATGGGGTAAATTATGTTTGGTTTGTGGCTAGTGAGACACTACCTTGGTGATATTTCTTCTATTTCTTGTTGTTTTGATATGGCTCGCATCAGTGCCCAACATATGTTGTTGTAAGCTGGTATTGCAACCACTGTATTGATTGAGTTCCCCTTGCTCTGGCTTGGCATGTTTGTTTGCAACCTTAAGCTAGTGGATGTTGTCAGACGGTGTGTGTATGTGATTTTTATTGTCATCCAACCTGTCTGCTTGTTCCTAAAGCTGTTTTTACCAAACCAAAATTACATATTTTGAATATATTGCTGCTTCCTGGCCATACGTATATGCCTTCAGCACATTTGAACCCGTTGCCTATTGGCAAAGGGGTGCCACAGTAGGAAGAGAACAATTACTCTACGAAACACTCCTAATTAGGATATTGTGTTAAAAGCCAGGCCGAGCATATCTGGTACCTACACCAGCTTGAACCTTCACTTGCTACAGATTGTTGAGATACTGTTAATTAGGCAAGGCATAATTGAAATCGCACCACATGCAACTTGCAAATTACATCCTTTCAAATCAAAAATAATGATATCAATATAAAAACAATCATCCAGCCATACTATCAAGTAATGACATTGTACTCAAGTTAATAGCTGACATCAGGTAATGTGGAGGCAATGCTACTAAGACAGGTCAAGAAACATGAGCAGTCAGATAGTCATTTAAACAACCTCCCAGGTTAGGGTGCACTCACTTCTGATTTTATGCCCATGTAAAGTGGTTTGACTGATCTGGCTAAACCAGGGGTCTCAAACTCAAATTGGTAGTTTAAATGGATGTGAAACAACCAGAAAAATAATTAATAATTAATAAAATAAAATACCTCTCCAGGAACCATCACCTCACCGTGGTGGAGAGGTTTGGGTGCTTCTATGAACCTGAGAGCTGTGTTGTCTGGAGCAATATGCTCCTGGTAGGGTCTCAAAGTGGTCTCAGGTGAGGGGCCAGACTAAGAATGGTTCACAGAAGACCCCATGGAAGTACATAGAAGATGTAAAGAGACCCGGCCCGGAGGAAGCCCGGGGCCCCCATCTGGAGCCAGGCCTGGAAGGGGGGCCTAAAAGCGAGTGCCTTGTGGCCAAGCTTGCCACGGAGCCCGAAAAAGTGACGTGGCCACATCTTCATCCCGTGGGCCCACCACTCACGGGAGAAACCACTGGGGTCGGGTGCAATGCCAAATGGGTGGCAGTAAAGGCAAGGGGCCTCGACAGACCAGACCCGGGCAGCAGAAGCTGGCTTTGGGGACGTGGAATGTCACTTCGCTGGGGGGGAAGGAGCCGGAACTGGTGCGGGAGGTGGAGCGCTATCAATTAGATCTGGTGGGGCTTACGTCTATGCACTGTCGAGGCTTTGGATCTTTACTCCTAAGGGTTGGACCCTATTCTTCTCTGGAGTTGCCCAAGTTGTGAGGCATCGGTGGGTGTGGGGATACTAAGTCCCCGGCTGAGCGCCACTATATCGCCTTCCTATGCCTACGGGCTGTAGGGGGGAAGAACAGCAGTGCAGAGTATTCTGCCTTCTTGGAGACCCTGAATGAAGTCCTGTATAGGGCTCCAGTAGGGGACTCCATCGTTCTCCTGGGAGACTTCAACGCACATGTGGGCAATGATGGAGACACCTGGAGGTGCGTGATTGGGAGGAACAGCCTCCCAGATCTGAACCTGGGTGGTCTTTTGTTACTGGACTTCTGTGCTTGTCATGGATTTTCCATAACAAACACCATGCTAGTACACAGGGATGCTGTGTACTAGCAGTATGTGTATGTGTACGTGGTACCAGAGCACCCTAGGCCAAAGGTCTATGATATGTTATCCCGGGGGACTCCTGAGGCAGCTGCAGGGTACCGACAGGCCTGAAGGACTGCAGCCGCAGCTGTGAGGGAAGCAAAACAGCGGGTGTGGGAGGAGTTCGGAGAAGTCATGGAGAAGGACTTTCAGACGGCACCCAGGCGCTTCTGGAAAACCGTCCGACACCTTTAAGCGGGGATGGGGACGCTGTGACCTTTAACGAGGAGGTAGTTGGGTCGGTGAAAGAGCACCTTTGGGGAACTCCTGAACCTGACTAGTCCAACAAACCCACCCTCTGTGATAGAGGCAGGGCTGGAGGATGATGGGGGATCAATTTCCCTACGGGAAGTCACTGAGGTAGTCAAACAACTCCACAGTGGCAAAGGCCAAAAATGCTGAAGGCTCTGGGTGTTGAGGGGCTGTCTTGGTTGACACGCCTTTTCAACATTGCGTGGAAGTCAGGGACAGCGCCGAAGGAGTGGCGGACTGGGGTGGTGGTTCCCCTATTTAAAAAGGGGGACCAGAGGGTGTGTGCAAACTACAGAGGCATCACACTACTCAGCCTCCCTGGGAAAGTTTACTCTAAGGTGCTTGAAAGGAGGGTTCGGTTGATTGTCGAACCTCTGATTGAAGAGTAACAGTGCGGGTTCGGTCCTGGTCATGGAACAACGGACGAACTCTTCACTCCTGCAGGTGTTTTGGAAGGGGCCTGGGAATATGCCCGACATGTATTTTGTGAATTTGGAGAAGGCATATGACCAGGTTCCCCAGAATATTCTGTGGGAGGTGCTGCGGGAGTATGGGGTGAGGGGGTCACTTTTCAGGGCCATCCAATCCCTGTACTTCCAAAGCGAGAGTTGTGTCCCTTACCCTCACTCCGGGTGAACAAAACCTGAGGTACTTGAACTCCTTCACTTTGGCGGTAAGGACTTATTCCCTACCCGAGTGACAATCCACCGGTTTCGCTGCTAATGAACCATGGGCCTCCGAGTGAGAGATGTGATCCTCTATCCCAGCTGCTTCACACTCAGCCACCAAACCGATTCAGTGGAGTGCTTTAAAGGTCACAGGCCATGATGCCATTAGGGACCAATCACTTCTGCAAAAAGCAGCGATGTATTCCTCGAACTGCAGAACCCGCCCCCCACGACTCACGCTCGATATCCTGTCCATGAAAATCTGACTTCGACCAGAATTCCC